CCTTTTTTTTTTTTTTTATTTTATTTTTTCTACTAATTGGCTGTCAGGTTTGTTAATATCATTGTCCACGCAATTGTCACGTACCATTGAGGGATCCAAGGGGCTTTTTTCAGTCATACACAAGTTCATTTTCGGCGTGGGTGTGGCTCACCGGTTTTATTTATTGCGGCATTTCTTGTACATAATCATCCTCACGTTTCTCGTGTCGCATGCGCATAATCTCTGGGAGGGATTATTGTTTTCGCCCTGGCCGCGCGAACTCAGGAACACTGGAACGTGCGCGAAAATTTGTCACGTAAATCCGCGGCTTTATCACCTACGTAACTCGCAGTGTACCGAACGAGAGTCTGGAATTTACGATTCACCGTTTAAACCTGTGAAAATGGCGAAAAAGTAAAAAAAAATAAATAAATAAATAAATAAAAACGTAAACAAATGAATAAGTACCGATCCAACGCCATTTTACGATCGAGTCCACGTCGGTATTTCACTTACGATTCAGAGTCACAGGATAAACGCGCGTACGCGTTGGACGTCGCGTAACCTAAACACCAGACGTATAGGTTATGTTTGGCGGGAGCGCGCGATTGGTCGTCAGCCGCGAATAGAAGAGATCGATGGACGAAGTCATTGCATGTGCTCGAACCATCTGATACCTCATTTTGCCACTGATCTTGCCTACCACCATTTGAATGAAGCTACTAATCATTTTTTAACGAGCACACGCGCGAGCAAGAAGCACACTTGAAAAACAGTAAGACAGCCCTACACATACAGACGTAGTGGTATCAGTTAGGAGATTTGAAGAATAATCCCATCCGTAAGGCACGCACCAAGAGCATACTCATTTCGCTGTTATGCGTCATGCACTTATTGATCAAAATTAACACACAGTTTTAACCAGACGAAGTACTCGCGGGATCGTGTCGTCGCGTTAAACGAATTCGAATTTTTGCTGTTCGAGAAGATAGCCCATTGCTTCCATGGCATATCTAACCTCAAAAATTCACGAAATCGGTACGTCATAACCAATCCCGTATCAAATTGAAATTAATCACGCTATATTAAATGAGCCGTTCATCCGTCAAATCGTTTAACTTCACCTAACCAAAAACTTCTTCAAAAAAAATTGAAGTTAAAATAGAAATTTATTTTAAATAGTCATAATTAAGTATCCATCTACTTCCTTTGGTCCAAAATTAAAGAAAAATCAAAGGAGTGGAATTAACTTTGACCCCTGAACGTCTCAAATATCGTCGTGTAACGAAAGTTTTCGAAATTTAAAAAATCAAAGGAATTAATTTTCGCCTTTGAGCATTTTTGTTCTCTGAAAGGGAATTTCCGAAATTTCGAGGAAAACACACGATCCCACGATGCTCGTCGCGCTTTCCCGGACATAAGTCTCGCAACGTTCACCGCGTTCGTGCCGCGACATCACCCTCTGGTGGCTAAGAGAGGTAGCGTGAGATAGAGCGAGAGTGGAGACATGCGTGTCAGCGAGAAAGATAGTAGAGAAAGCGAAAGAAAACACCGTGCCTTGTTTCAAAACCCTTAGTAGCCGAGGCAAAGTCGGAGGAGAAGAGCCAGAGGAAACTGGAAGTGGGTGAGCTAGTGTGGGGCGCCGCAAGAGGAAGTCCGGCCTGGCCGGGCAAGGTCGAGTCTTTGGGCCCACCGGGCACCATGACTGTCTGGGTCCGTTGGTACGGGGGCGGGGGCGGTCGGAGCCAGGTCGAGGTCAAGGCTCTCAAGTCCCTCTCCGAAGGCCTCGAGGCGCACCACCGTGCGCGAAAAAAGTTTAGGAAGTGAGTCGCACCACCTCGTTCGGGGATCAACTATCAGAAACGAGTTATCGAGCCCTCTTAGGGACAAAGGGTATCCCGGGGATGAACGATCACGTTTTACGCAACTATCACGGTACACCACGCGTTTCGCCGGTTTTTGATTTTTCACTTTTGGCTGAATTTTCATTCACATCGTGTGCCTCCCTTTGCGGGGTGTGAATATTATAACTGTTGTTGCATGAATTTTTCTTTTTTCCCTTTTTTTCGTACAGACATTCTTCGATATTACAGTACAGTGGTGAATTTAATTTTTACATTTCTTGGGGATTTTTAATTTTTTTTTTTTAATTTTATATGTTTCTGTTGTTTATTTGAAGAGGATTTTGTGTCGGATTTTGAATCACTTTCTTTATGACGAATGTGAATATATTATTTATTGCCCAGTTTTCTTATGATTTGAATTTTCTGCTTAATTTTTTGTGTATATTTTTTTAACATATAAAGGGGAGGTAGAATTTTTATATACATATATTATCAAATAATCCTTCAACTCGGGCTTTGAAATTTTAGATAATTTATTATCCTCTAGCTAAAATCTCATTTTGAGTCAAGATGTTATTTTATTAAGGAATATATTGTCTAATGAATGTTTTTCTTTTTTAGTGGTAATTTATCGAAATTTTATATAATTGTTCTCAATTTACCTTGCTTTAGGAAAGAGAAATAACTGAAAAGGCATAAATCATGCACCTAAAAGAAGTACTATGTAATGATAGAAGATGGACCCTTTTTAAATCTTTTTTTTTTTTTTTCATTTAATTCATTCTCGTTGTGTAAAGGAAGTGAAAATTTTGATGGAAAAATTCAACGATCCGGATGAATCGTCTCTGGTTGAAGGATTAATAAAAATGATAAACAATATTTTTATATATCGGTCCTTTCAATCAACGGAATACCGTGAAAAATATTTTTCAGACCGTATCTCGAATATTTGTAACGCGACCGAGCTTTCTGCAACTGAGGATAAATAACGTGATTCTGTTACGTATTTTGTTATCGTTTATCCTACTATACCCGAGATTCGTAAAAGATATATCAAATTGCAATTGATAAGTGTTTCGCAAAGTTGATCCGCACAATTAATAATTTTAAACAATATTTTCTATCTTATTCTATACATATATGTATCTATAAAATATATATTATTATAGTATTATATTATTAATGATATAAATAATATAATTAATAATAATAATATAATAGCATAT